AATATGGACATGTTGGTCGCCTGGGGGAAACACCTTACTGCCTTCACACTCCTGTCGCAGAGGACAGTACGACTTTACTCCCAGACCGCCTCGTAGCACGATTACTCGTAGTACGGGGTCTCACGGCTCTTAGTCTGGCTGCTCCCCTTTGGCCTTCCTGGCATGGTTGCACCTTGTGGAACGACGTTCCAGCCAGTGTAGCCCGCGGGATCATTGCAGCACTGAAGCCCGACCACCACGTCAAGGTGGCAGCTTTAGGTCGGGTTCGAACTACGGGTCTTCTGACCAGTAAATTCGCACGTTAATCACTGAGCCATTTTGGGCTTGATAGAGCATAGTGTTCTGCAACCGCCTGACATTAGGGTTATTAATATGAGGCTGACATAATTCGGGACACGCTGCGTCATGTTCCACCCGGCTTTGACACGGCTCGCGAATCGTCTGGTCAGTAGTACATCCGCAGCCTGCACTATGCACCCCCATTCCTCCCTACCCCATCTACAAATCGTAGTCGATAGGCAATGCCACTGGCCTAATCGCAGCCCCTCGTTTTTGCTTTTCGGTCCTATTCCCTTCGGTATAAGCGGGCAGTATCACACACACATACACACACACAACTTTGCGCAAGGTAGCATGTAGTACCAACTCCCGTGTTTGGGATTGCAATGGCCTGATGCAGCGAACAAACCCAGAAACCGGTACATGCCGCCTCCAGGTGCCTTGCACCTCTGTCTAATACTCATGTTCACCTGCAGCACAAACTGGGAATATGACCTCTGAGTCGAACTCACTATGTTCAGAGCATGTTCAACTTTCTCACGGTAATCGTACTTCCCTAAAACCAGTTGCTGGAACATACAATATTCCCAAACAGGATTATTCATTGGTTGTTGGTCTGTTTGCCGCAGTACTTCCAAGGTCACTCATCACTGTACTTTATGTTTGAATGACATAGATTACAGGACTTCAGAAACTGGTGACGCTCGGATATCTTAACTTGACAAAAAACTATTATTATACTCAGGGTAAAAGTTGGCTCAATTAGGACAACCCTGATGATTTATAGTTCTTTTTCAGCTATTTGTAGTCCGTATAAAAATTCCCTCCTCAGCCAAACAGTCACGCTTGCCATATGCAATCATACGCTACATGGACAGGCCACACTTCGTGAGTGAGACTGATATTCTACATGCTTAGTGTGACATAACTTACATGAACATGGTACGTTAACGACTGACACGGTGATCTGCCTAGTGTCACCACGTTTTGGTCGGAATTCTGAGAAGTCTGGTGAGGATCGGCCAGACGCACAGTACTGTGTAGTCGCGGGCTTGAGAATCTCCGTGCAGTATCTATCAGCTGTTACGATCAAAAGAACCACACAGTCACGGGACTCTGAGCCAAGAAACCTAACGACAAGCAACGGACCAATTGGACCAAAGGAAAACAGTCGCTAAAGACAGAAGACCGCTGAATCAACCAATCAAGGGAACAAACAAAGAAACAAACCACAAAGCAAGAAGAAAACGGCTGAACCACAACAGAACAACCACATACAGAACTGCCAAATCGAATGCGCCCAACGAACCAACCAGACGTTGGAGATTGAGACTACGTCAGATTCACAGGAGACCAATCAAACTACGCGAAGGCCGTTTCCAGAACTACCAGATACTGTTTAGAAGCTATATAATCACAGGCAGAAGAGAAGGAATTCATCCACTCAACCCTGCACTGTTACCTCGATTGGTGATGAAACATTTGCAATCCAACTGCCAAGCTCGGCGAACAGACCAACAACTAAGAAACGAACCTGAACAACCGACATTCCAAAACATTGATAGTATCAAGAAGAAGCGCTTCGGGGCAACTGGTGGAATTAGTCTACTCGTGGCCAAACGTATCTTAGCTGCCACTCCTGGAGATGCAATATCCTCAATCCTCAAAGAGGTTGCTTCAGAAATCGCCGAGCAATCAAGAGGCAAACAAGTGAAGCATTTCGAGACTGGAAACCTGTTGACTGTTTGATCCTCCTCGGACATATCAGATGAGGTATTTCATCGACGCTCGTCGCCTACCTATCAGCCGAAAAGGTTACCTAACCGCTTCCTTTTCACAGAAGCTTCGCCCGATACACTGAGAAGTCATAGAGTAATCACCATTCACCAGCTGAATGAGTCTCGTCCCGTCTAAATCAGATTGGCAACCCTTGCTCTGAACACCTAATTGGGATTCCATCTTGAAGTGAACTAATTCAATCATTTGAATTTTGATTGAATTTACATTACTTACAAAACTACTGAAAGGACGTAACTCATTGTGTCGCAGATCATCATACGTCGAAGTTTTTTTTATCCGAAATATACGACAGATTTTTGCCAAGACACAGACTTTCTCGATAATCTGGTAGAGCGCAACCCATTTCTGCCACTTTCTCAGGACTGTCCTTGACCAGAAAAAAGGAACGAGTCACCTAAGTGGTATATATTATATAACTGTCACATGAATAGGAAGCTTGAATTGATTCAAAGATTCTAATAAGAGGGAATCCACTGGCGAGTTCCGAGTTCGAGATGGCTCAGTGGTCAAGGCGCGAACTTACTGACCAGATGGTCCACGGTTCGAACCCGAAACCGGCATCTAGACTGCTTCGATCTGGGCTTCGGCAGCTTGACAGTATCTCAACCCTCATGCTTCCTTCGAGTAGTATACCAGCTTTGCATCGAAAGGGTGTTGCTGACAGTTTTCGAATAACAACTTAGTCCATTAAATGAACAACACTCATGTGGTAAACGGAATGTATGGGATATAAAGCCCAACAGATGACATCACTAGACTAACTTGACAGTTGCTCCCAAGTCTGTAGTTCCAGCCATTTGCTTGGAAGGCGGCTTTGCTGGGATGGTGGAAGATCGAGTACGCGAAAACGGTTGAGTACTGGACATGTCGGTTTCCGATCCGTACAAGGACAAAATAGTTTTTAAGCCGCACGATGGAGCAGCTGGAAGAGGTGTGCTATCGTCCGTGGCGTAGTTCATCAATCGGACGTCTTCGCCAACCTCGAAAGACGATGATTCCGCTAGTACAGCTTGAAAGGAACACGGAGAATAAGCATCAATTTCAAGGAGGGGGAGGGATGATTATGCTGCTTGAAGAGAATAAAGGAAGACAGAAAATACGCGGTTCCACTTCGATTCTATTTGTTAAAAACATGAACTTACACTTTGAGCTGCGTGCAATTGGTGTGCTTTCTTTGAATTGTGTTTAAGTTGCACGATTCAAACAGAAAGGCAGTGGCGAAAGAACCTCCAGCAAAATTTTCAAAACTAAACTGTGAATATTGCTGTTTTGCATTCCTTTGCAAGCAAACACCATTGTCCAAGACAAGAGTTTCCAATCTTGTGTTTCCATGGTAACGCCACCTAACACACTGTTGCTCCATTGCAGCTTGAGGATAACAAGTTCTCGCCCCTGTCTAGTCACACAAAATTATGAACTTGACACTCATGATCCTCAAGTCTACTGGAACACCACGCACCAGTGGTATTGACGACTTCCAGCTCATGATTGAAGCGCACCGTGACGCTACTTGCTTAACAGAAGCGCGAAATCTGAGGGTCTACGATTAGAAAATATGTGGCCGGAATTCGAAACGCCCAGCCAAACAAAAATTTTCGACCCTATTGTGAAGTGGTAGTGAGGCGCAGATGGATCCGTCGTAGGACCATTTGGCTAGGAATTTTAATCTGTTGCTCTCAGGACCACGTCGGATCTACTGGCTAGTCGCGTACGGCCAGCGAACCCAAACTGGTGGGCGAACTGCTGATGGAAAGCAGTTTTAGCCTACACCCAAAAATGGACTATACAGGAATAAGGGCTAATAATCGGTGTAGAAATAGTATGACACTCGAAAAGTACACATCACGGTTGATCAAAATGGAAGTTAAGTAGGTTTCAGGGAGGAAGTCCGAAAGACGTGCTGCTCCGGAAAAAAATTAAGAGGCAAACAATTCAGTACAGGAATTAAAGCCTAATAAGGACGGCTTGGGATGAATGGGTTGGAAGAACAGCAAGGGGAATGGGGCACAGGGACGGAAGACACTATTTCCGACGAGCACCTTCCGTGAAAGTGGCGAGAAAAAACATCCAAGTCACAAGTGCGAAAGTTTTGGCAGGCTACCGGTCAAATGTATGGATTTGTTCCGTATTAAGTCGAGTTAGGAAAGGTGAGACGAGGATGGCCCGTCCCTTCGCAAACCTTAGAGAACGCACCAATATCCAACTACGTACAGTTTGTAGCAAATCGCCAAGCTCAGCAGCTGTGGATGAAGGGATTTGGATAGGTCACACAGTCCTGTGACGGTTTGTGGACGATCATCGGGGAACTGATGAGTGACAGTGCGCGGGGAATGGCAGGACGTGATGTTGTCTGTGAGCGTGGAAAACAACCTAATTCTGCATAAAAGCCAAAAAGAATGGGGAGGAGTACAGAACTCCAGAGAACTCTTTTGTCGCAGTTATGAGTTTGGGGGATGAGGCAGCCAAAGCGCATTGGAACTATGAGTCGATTCGGAAAGTTTTGTGAAGTAACCCGATACGATCAAATGCTTTCAAAATGTCAGGACAGAGGATGACCATATATGGAACACATAACAACACCTCTAGCATACCCAGCTTCATAAATGTCAGGACCTTTGCGAGTACTGGTGAGAGGAGAAAAGTCCTTCACTGCGAGGTTATTTATTAACAAACATGAACCAAGCGGTTACAAGATACTAGACACAAAAGTAAACATCCCATACGCACAGAGATTTTGAAGCACCCGAAGCATCCTCTTGAACTTTCCTCGAATATTGAAGAATTAGAAACGAACACTGTAAAGAAGTTCTATAGTTTCAACAGTGACCTCCACCTTCTGTCAGATACGGAGGCGGAGCCTGCACACCGGAAAATAGACAACTTGCATGCTTCACCAGTAGCATAGCCGTTACGCTGATAGTCATTCGGGTAAAAAAACACTCAGACTACCAGTCACCAGATAATGGTCTGATTGAGCTCACATCCCTCTAGGAGGCTAGTTTCACACAAAGTCGTTATCAAAGATAATTATGCAATACGG